AGGAAAGGGAGGAAATTATGTAATTATGATTTTAAAATATAAAAATTATTATTATTTTTAAAAAATAGGTTAAAAAACTATTTGGAAGAATAGATGGTAGCATCTATGTCTACCCCAGAAAAAGAAACACTTAGACCTAGGCTTCAAGGAAAGCAAGCAAGCAGGAAGTCAGTAGTGGAATACTAACTTAAAATAATATATTTTACATTAGCATGCATGTGTATACTCAAGAGTGCACGTGATGTTTGTCATGGTACAAGTGCAGATTAGAGAACAATTTGCAAAAACTGTTTCTCTCTTGCTGTCAGGTTCCAGGAATAAAACATGGATCATCAGGCCTGATGGTAGATGGTAATAGTATTCATCTGCTTAATCTTGCTATCACAAGAGCATTAATTTCAGCAAAATAAGTAGGTGATAAACTGCAAAAGAAAGCATCAGACTGAAGCTGGGTATGGGGGTACATGCCTAAAATCCCAGCATTTGGGGAAGTGGAGGCAGGACGATCCTCAGCTACTCAGCAACAGGCCTGGGACCTGCCCTGGAGAGGGCCCAAGTGCAGCTCTCAGCCTGGACAGCAGGCAGTTCGCAATCACCTGTAACTCCAGCTCCAGGGAGCCCACCATCTTCTCTAGCCCAAGCAACTGTTCCCATGTGCACACAGCTACACACAGGAAAACACAAACGCACATAACTAAAAATAAAGTTAAGGGAGCTGACGAGGTGGGCTCAGTGGTTACCAGCACTGGCTGTGCTTCCAGAGGACCTCAGGTCAATTCTAAGCACCCACATGACAGCTCAAGACTGTCTATAACTCCAGCTCCAGAAGATCAAATGCCCTCTGCTGGCCTCTGTGGACACTGGCACACACAAGATGCATAGACATACAGGTAGGCAAAACAGCTATACTACATAAAATAAAATGATAACAATTTAAAAATAATAAAGTTTTAAAAAAATCTTTAAAAAAAAAAAAGAAAAAAGACAAAACCAGAGAATGTAAGATTGGAGAATTTAGATTTGAATATACAGGCAATGGGGGTCAATATTTTAAATAGGAAAACATTAATATACAGAAACAGCACACAGGATACACTGAAGAGAATACAAAGACACAAGACTGAAAGCAAAGAAAGCAAGAGTATTACAGAACCTTCCACATGAAAGTTAATCAAAGCAAAATACATTATATACATGCATGAAAACATCACAGCAAAACTCAGTCAATTAAGACATACTAATAAAAATATTTTTAAAAGGACAACCAAAGCATAAAGAACAATGGAGAACGGAAGGAAAATGGGAAAGATGCCGAAGAACAGTAGCTACAATTTAGGAACTGACAATACATGGTTGAAAAGGGAGTTGAGATGCCTGTGAAAGTTTAAGTCAAGCTCTGAGGCGGACATTAGGTGTTGCAGGAAGAAGAATGGAGACAATCATTCAGGCTGTCCACACACTAGAACTTGTCAAACAGAGATGTCAGCATGAGCCACGAGTGGGGTCCCAAAACAGACAGAGATTCAGTAGTCCAGAAGAGGCATTAACTGGTAAGCGGAAAATCCAATAAAACTACACTACTGTGTGCCAGACTTTCACAGACATCCTGGTGAATCTTCACAACTTTCTGCAGCAGACTTCCATGTCCATTTCATAAATGACTCCAGGCGAGCTTAGAGAACCAAGTGTCGTGCTCAGGAATCTAGTCAGTCAGCAGCAAAGGCCAGGACTCAAACTATCTGCTCCAGACTTCCCTGCATTCAAGGTACTTTCTCTCTAGTGTGATCACAGCAATTATTAAAATGCCCTCTATTCTTTCCACGTCCTCCTCAAACTGTGTCCTCACTAGCATGTGCTTTACAGATTGACTGAGGAGCCCAGAATGGCGGTGCATCCTGTAACTCTCCCGCTAAGGAAGCGGACGCCTAAGTGGAGACTTTGAGGTCACCCTGTGCTTCCTAACAAGACACTCTTCCAAACAACAACAAAAATAAATCACATACGGGGGGGGGGGGGGGGGGACTATTAGAGTCAGGGAGCCTGGGAGCCTAAGGCTAGCCTTAACTACATGCGGGATTGGAGGTCAGCCTAGGCTACAGGAGACCTTGCCTCAGAAAACAGAAGACAAGATTCAGGTGAGGACATGAAATTAATCCAAAATTACTGACAAAATTACAAAGCACCTTTAGCTAGAAAGTTTTACAAGTTAAATTAGCACTGCAAAAGCACAGCCAGGCATGGTTGCAGTCAGAGGAAAAGGACAGGCAGATCTCTGAGGCCAGCTCTGGTTTACAAAGTGAGTTCCAGGACAGCCACGACTACACAGAGAAACCTTGTCTCAAAGGAAAGAAAAGAAAAAGAATTCTTATTTATAACTGGCCTGAGGACTGCTATAAGCAAAACGCTTGAATGCAAAGCTGAGTTCCAAAGATAAACATCCATAGAAAATCAGGTTTTATTCAATTTTCATTGAGCACTGCACTCTGAAGACAAAACCACAACAAAATGTGTTTAATTTAATGGCCTATATACATACAAACATAACCTTCTCATTTCCTAGGCATTAATATTTGCATCAATGGCAAAAAATTTCAATCACATTTTAAAGCAGTGATTTTCACTCTTTTGTCCATCCACAGCTTCTCTCCTCACAATTACTATGATTCCACTTATCTGCTTCAAAATTTCATAAATATCCAAATCTGTATCTGAATGTCAAAATTCTGTTACCAAAGTTAATTATTTTTAAAAAAAAAAACACTAAAAAGGAAGTGTTCCACCACCTAATCTGTGGACTGAATCGTAGGGAGACGACAGAGCCGCTTAACTATCCCCTGGAAACTGCAGGAAGTTCATGAAGCTTACTGGCAAGCAGCCCTTTCAAACTTTCCCTGAGCACTCTCTTCTCAGCGTGCTAGAGAGGGACTTCACTTGATGCCTGCTGTCAAGGGCCTACCACCACAGACTTATGCAATCCTTCCAAGGATGCCATGAGGGAAGTGGGCTGAATCTGAGGAGAAAGAGGAAGCAGGGCAGCAGAGGGCAGAAAAGCTTTCAGGAGAACAGGTTTTAGAGGTGGTTTTGGTTTTGTGTGGTTTTGAGTCAAGTTCTCACTAGTCACCCCAGATCAAACTCTCTTCCCTGTCTCACAGTGCTCCAAGCTTCTAAGGAGAAAAAGCTCAGTAGCATACCCTCGCATTACCAGCTCTGGAGGAGACAGTTACACTGAAAACCTACATACAAATCAGAAGGATAAGTGATGAAAAGAAGCTGGGCAGAGAATGCCCCCACAGGGGGGAGTTATGATATGTTCTAGAAAAAGATGAGATGGTTTCTGAAGCCATCAGACTTCAGTTAAATGTCAGTTTGTTAGACTCGTTAAATCAGTCAAGTAACTCCTTTTTAATAAATAATTTTTGGTCAAAAAACACACATACACACACAATGGAACTGACCTGACGATGAAGCAAAATTTTTTTAAAATCTGTTTTTTAAGAACTAAGTTCCAGGACCGAGCCAAGGCTACACAGAAAATTCTGTCTTGAAAAGGGGCGGTAAGATGACTGGGTGGACAGAGGTACCGAGGCCAGGCCTGACAGACAGCCTCAGCTCTTTCCCTGGAGCTCAACCGCGTGCCATGTACCCACACAAACGCACATGCACACCCAATAAATAAAATTAAAAACTGACAGAGGGCCAGAAAGGTGGCTCAGACAGGGGAGGCTCCGGCCCCCAAACCTGACAACCGAAGTTCGAGCCTCACAGGTCACATGATGGACTGAAGAAACTGTACATCTGTCTTCTGACCTCTCCCCAAGCGCGGTCCGTGTTGCCCTTCCCACGCAAATGAGTGAGTGTTCTCTAAAAAAATTAAAGAGTAAAGAAGAGAAATCCTCCATGACATGTTTTAGGGCTTTCACACTGGTAAGAGCCTTCTCAGCCCATTCAACATAATTTTAAAGCCGTCTTTATTTTTTTAAAAAAATACAGATATTTACTGGGTTAATTCTGCACAACAGTTTCATGGGGGAAGGGGGGGCGCGATTAATATGCTTTCCAAATAAGGAACTTAATATCATCCACTTCTCCCTGCTATCATGACCCGGGGTGATTAAAAATAGCCTTTGTTAATTCTGAATTAACCTGACCCCTCCCCCGCCCCAACTCTCTGCCCTGAAGCTCCAAGGGTACAAAGATTAAGGCTCAAAACCCACGGACCTTTAAGGAACCAAAAGGAAAACGAAGAAGAAAAAGACTGAAACCTCAAGATCACTTCACCTTACGCTGTTTGTCATGGCTGGCTGTTTTGGAGGGGGCTGGGGCTGTTTTCTGACAGACTCACGCTGAGGCCCAGGCTGGCCTCGAACTCGCGATGCTCCCTCCCCGGCCTGGCGGAGAGCTGGAGCCCGCACCCTGGGCTACTTCCCTTCAGTCTTCGGACTCAAGGTGTCTGCCGAAAAGCTCCCGTCTAAACGTTTCTTTAACGAGTCTCTCAGGCAACGTAATAAAACACGACAAAGAAGGCATTTGGCAATCGAACGTCCCTGGGAGTCCGCACGGCTGCCTCGGTGTGTGTGACCCGAGTCCTGCCCGCTTCCGCGGGACCCTCGCACTGCTTCAACCCGGGGCACGCGAGGCTGCTCCTCTCCCGGCCTTTAGCTGACACTTAAGGAGAGAAAACACCTCCGCAAAAGACCGTGAAACTTTTTAAAACGCTCCGGACGGCGTGCGCGCCGCTCCTCCCCGCAGAGCCCATGGCTGCCGTGCGGCCCCGCAAACTTTTCTCGGCCGCCGGCTGCGCGCCGGCCCCGGGCGGCCCCGGCCCGAGCGCCGGCCCCGAGGGGAGCCGCCCCGAGCGCCCCGTTTCCCACAGACCCCAACATGGCGTCGACCGCCGCCGCCGCCCGCGCCAACCCCCTCCCCGCGCCGCCGCCGCCCGCCGGGGCCCGCAAAGTTTCGCTTCCTCCTCCTCCTCCTTCCCCGGCCCCCGCGGCTCCTACCCGGCCGGGCGCGGGCGGCGGCGCCGAGGGTGCGACTCCTCCTCCTCCTCGTCGTCGTCGCCGACTCCGGGCGCGGACTCGGCCCGTTCCCCCCGGCTCCAGCCTCGCAGGGTGCGTGGGGGCCCCGCGAGGCCGGCGCGGCCCGGACGCGGCGGGCGCAGCCGCTCGCAGGTGACCGGCTCCGGTCGAACCCGACAACGGCCGCGGCGGCGGGCTTCCCTCCTGCGCGCGCACCGGCGCGCCCCTGCCCCAGCGCCCGGCGCAGGCTCCCGCGCACCCGCCCGGCCCTTTCTTCCCGGTTCCCTCGCCCCGCCCACCGCCTCGCCCCGCCCCGCCCCTCACCCCCGCGCGACTCGCTCGGGGGCGGGGTTTGGGCGGAGGCCACACCCACCGAGGCCCTTCCCCGGGCGCAGCTGCGGGGCGCGCTCCACCGCGCGGACGCCCGCCGCCCGCCGCGGCAGGCCCGGGCCGCCGAGCGCGGCCGCTTTCCCGACTCGGAGAAGGCTCTTAAACTGTCCGCCGAGCTCTCTGGAAGAATGGACGGAAGCCGCCCCCACGCCTCCCGAAGGAACAGGAAAGAAGGCTGCAACGCGCGCGCCCGCCCCGCCCGGCTCGGCCAGGCCGCGAGCACCTGCCGGCGCCTTCTCCCCGGCGCCTGCCTCCTGCTTCCCCCGCACGCCCCGGTGTAACCTTGTGCCTCCCAACCCCGCTCTTCCCAAAACTTCCCTGGCCCGGGGCCTCGGCTGTCTGCTTCGCCTGCCTAGAACTTCGTGCACGAACGTTGGGTTGCGGGAGCCTGGGCTCCTCAGTCCCTCCGCCCCGAGCGCTCGCTAGGTGCTGCGGAGAGACAGCAGAGGCCTCTAGGCGGGCGGGACGGGAGAGCATACGCCCTTTCTTCCAGCACTCCGGGGGCAGAGGCTGGTGAGTTCGAGGCCAGCCTGGTCGACAGTGCTAGTTCCAGGACAACCAGGGCCACACAAAGAAACCCTGCCTCGAAAAAAACGAAAAGGTTTTGAAAGGCGGGGGTAGAAATTGGGTTACAGTAAATTTTATTATTTCAGGGATTTTTTTTTTTTTAACCCCTGGTTCAGCGGTTCTCAACCTGTACGTTGTTACTCCTTTGGAGGTCAGAGGACTTTTTCACAGGGTCACCTAACACCCTCCTGAAAACAGATAAAGTGGCAAAGTCACAGTTAGAGGTAGCACCACAAATGATTTTATGGTTGGGGTTCACCACATGAGAAGCTGTATGTAAGAAGACTGAGAGCCACTGCTCCCTTGAATTAGCAGGTCCACCAACCACTCTATCCACAAGTGAGCCTGGGGCTCGGGATGAGCAGGTTTGGGTTCTGTCGGTTTTCCTCCTGCTCTTGTGTTTGGAATTCTCAAGTTCTCCACCCCACCCCCACCCCCTCTATTTCAGTGTCTCTGCAACGAACACAATTGTTTTAAATCAGTATCCAGAACAAAACTGACAAAGGCAACCAATTGTGATAATAGGGATAGTTACAGGTTTCCAATCACACGCAATCTTGACGTGTGTTACACTAAGCATGGTCCAAGACCGCTTTAGGTTTGGGGATTAGGAACTGTTTTATCTCTAGGTTCATTCTGGAGCTTTAGACACCAAACATTTTTGGACACTCATGTCATCAAATGTTCTCCCTTCCAATAGACTTATACTAGATGCAAGCCAGAATGTCTACACTCAAAGTCTCTGCTTTGCCAACAAGTATAATACCTGTGTCCTTGTTACCTTAGTTACCTTCACTTCCTTCATGTGTAAAATAGGGATAATAAAAGAAAGTTCCTCAAGGAGTCATTAAATGAGCCAATATTTGTAACATATGCCAAGCACAGGCTAAGTGCTGTGTAAGAAAGATGAAAATTATTAAGCATGCATATACAATGTATGTATACACATCTATTACAATTTACCTCATTATTATGTATTAGATAAAATACACCAAATAATGATGTAAATATATGGAGTGATATGTTTTCTTCCTGCAGTCTGTGTATTCCCTTCCTGGGAGGTGTGCTGCCCAGTTGAAAGCCATTATTTGGAGTCATACTGGCAAATGTGTTACCCACCAAACACATGCATTAATTAAAATTTAAATGTAAGGTCTGGTTCCTTGCTGGGCATGGTGGCACACACCTTTAATCCCAGCACTTGGGAGGGAGAGGCAGGCAGATTTCTGAGTTTGAGGCCAGCCTGGTCTATAGAGCAAGTTCCAGGACAGCCAGAGCTACACCGAGGGCCTGGGAGAGATCTGATTCCTTGCTGGCACTGACCGTGTGACCAGGAGACACTGCAGCTATAAAGCATTCCCACCATCGCAGAAAGTTCTGTTGGGCGACACATAGCAAGCTGAACAAAACAAGAGACCAAAGTCACCTAAAGACAGGTGGGGAGTCCTGACTCGGCCTCACTCCGGGACCTGTTGGATCTGTCCCTCAACTTCACATCTCCTCTGTGACATTAAGATAAATAGGAACTGTTTGATAGACTGATGGGTATAGGAAATACTACAGAGTGTATAAAGTTTGGCAAAGGTCTAACACATAGAGAAGCTTGAAAAATAGTACTAAAATTTGATTTTTCAATCAACTGAATTCTATAAGCCTGTAAGACAAAGTTGATTTGTTAAGCGTCCTTCTATCAAAAGGGTTTTTCTCTAGGGTGCCTGCTTTGTGAAAGAGAAGAGCTTAGTTAACTAAAAACAGCATTCAAGCAGAGATAGCAAATTTCTAAATGTTTATTGCTCCCTGTTTTCATTGTTCCTTTCAGCCATGAGCCTTGTTTTTTGTTTTAGTTTTTTTCTCCCTAGTCTTCACCATCACTGTGAAATGACACCACCGCATCCACAAACCCGATGTCATTATCCTTTTATCTTCCCCTGGAACCCAGAGAGAAGGATCTATCTTCAGAAAACTTCATCTCTCACAGTGTAGTGGTGCTTACCTATAATCAAAGCACCTGGGAGGGGAAAGAGAAGCCCAAGCTCATTCATCCTAGGCAGGACAGGGCAGCTTAGGATACTTGAGACCTTACCTCAGAAAACAATAAGGGCTGCAGGACATGGCTCAGAGAGCTTGCTGTGCACACATGAAGACTTGTTCAAACCCTAGCACCCACAGAGAAAGCTGGGTATGGTGGCAAACACCTCCCAGCTGTGTGTTGGGAAGGTAGAAACAGGAGGATTCCTGGGGCTCACTGGCCAGCCAACCTAGCCTACACCTGGGTCCCAATGAGAGAAACTGTGTTGGGTGGTTCCTGAGAAAGGGCACCGAGACTGAGCGTCCCAGCACTGCAGGAGACCAGGCATGTCGGCACCTGCCTGTAATCCCAGCACCTGGGAAACAGAGGCAAGAGGATCAGAAGTTCAAAGTCATCCCCCCTCCCCCAGCTACAGAGAGCATTTGAGACCAGCCCGAAACACGAGAGTCCGTCTCATGTAATAATGACACAGGACGATTGAAAACGTCAGTGGTTGTCAGAAATCAGTGGGGAGGGAGAGATGAATAAAAAGGTAGAGCACAGAGGACTTTAGCTGTTTGAAAATACTCTCTGTATGCTACTACTATAATAATGGATACATGCTCTTTATACTTTGTTCAAACCCCAAGAATGTCTAATATCAAAAGTGAACTCTCAGGAGCCAGTAAAGTGTTGGCCCAGCAAGCACAAGGTCCCAGCCTGGATCCTCGGGTGGATATAGGTTAATCTATTCTAACAGATGCACAAACATTCTTGAGGACAGTTATAGTTGGGATGAGGAGGTTGTATATGGGAACTGTATACTTTTACCTCAGAGTTGCTATGAACCAAAAATTGCCCTTAAAAAAAATCAAATCTATTCAAAAATAAAAACAGCAAAAAATATTGCATATGTCTCTTGGAGAAGATGGGATTTAAGCTTGGTAATGATTTGAGATGCTTTTTGGCAGGCATTTCGTGGAAGAGTTGCTGTAAACTGCGTCTCTCAGGCGACTGCTCTTTTTACCATCTGTCAAAATCTCACCTTCTAGTTTTTTAAATAGTGTTTAAATTCAGAGAGATCCTTTTTCATATTTTTAAATTATATTTTCTTTTCCTTTTGAAACAAGCTGTCCTCACCATGTAACTAAGGATGGTCTTGAACAAAATAACATGGAAAACAGTTAACATCAATTTCCAGCCTACACACACAGAGAGAGGCCCAATTGTGCTTAAGTTTTATTATGGAATATAAATCTTACTCAAGTACTCACTACACACACAAAAATATAACATCTGCTTTCTTCTGCAGCAAATCCCTACATTCTATACATATTATCTTCTTTGTCAGTAGAAGAGAATTTTCATTTTTGTTAGTACACACCTTTAATCTCTGAACCGGAGAGACACAAGTAGGCAGATCTCTATGAGTTTGAGGCCAGCCTGGTCTACATAGTGAGTTGCAGGCCATCCATGGCTACACAGTGAGACCCTATTTTCAAAACAAACAAACACAAAACAAAATTTTATTTATTACTACTGTGTATGTGGCAGGCAATCATTGAAAACCCTTACTTTCCATGACTACTTCAAAATAAGTATACATTGATCAAAGAATAGTTTTAAAAACTTGGCTCCACAAACTGAGCCCTGGGGCCCTGAAGAGAATAATACTCCAACCAAGGACTATGCATGGAGAGGACCTAAAACCCCTGCTCAAATGTAGCCCTCAGGCCCAGTCTCCAACTGGGTGGCCTAGTAATGAGAACAGGGGCTCTCTCTGGCATGAACTCAGTGGCTGGTTCTCTGATCACCTCCCTTTGGGGGTGTGCAGCCTTGCCAGGCCACAGAGGAAGACAATGCAACCAGTCCTGATGAGAACTGATAAGCTAGAGTCAGATGGAAGGGGAGGAGGACTCCCCTATCAGTGGACTAGGGGAGACACATAGGGGGAAAAGAGGAAAGGGAGGGTGGGATTGGGAGGAAAAGAGGGAGGAAGCTACAGCCAGGATACAAATTGAATAACTTGTAAGAAATGATAAAAACAAACAAACAAACAAACAAAAAACTTGGCTGCAGCCAAGCAGTGGCAGTGCACACCTTTAACCCCAGCGCTGGGGAGACAGGCAGGTGACTGTTTTCCCTAGTGACTTGCCTTGACCAATGGAATATGGCGTTCAAGGCCAGCCTGGTCTACAGAATGAGTTCCAGGACCACCAAGACTACACAGAGAAACCCTGTCTGGGAGCGGGGAGCAGGGGAACAAACCGCCCCCAGATTAAATAATATTCAACAGAA